GTACAAGATTTAAAAAAACTTGTGTTATTTGTTTACTTTATTAACAAATCAACCAGTAAGCGCCCCGGGATCTGTGGTGAGTATCGCTCGTGTTACTTTATTTATTTATTTTATTAACAAAGTGACCAGTAAGCGCACCGGATTATGTGGTAATTGGTGCTTGTGTTAGTTTACTCATTTATTTTATTAACAAAAAGACCAGTAAGCGCCCCAAGTTGCTTGGTGATTGGCGCTAGTGTTATATAAGGTATTTTCACTTGTGACGTCATTCCAAGTTGGCGCGATCACTGAGTTTTTTTTTAAAATTTGCACCAAATGTGCAAAACCAGCTGTGAAATTCACGAAGACGTTCCAACTAATGATATCGAGAGTGCAACAGTGCCAATAGAAAACCCCAGATTTGACACATTGTTAACGTTAAGATCTCGTCAACGATTTCCATTCAAGTGTGTGAGAGAAAACGTGATTGTGGAAATTTTATTGTGGAAAAATCACTATAGATTTTTTCAGTTGTGGGACATTGCATTGGATCAAGTGAATTGTGTGTATCCGGAACTGATTACGGAGAGAAATACATGGAGGACATATCGCTCATACTACATGGCTAAAAGCAATGCGAACCCATTGCACATTATTTTATATTTTAAAAAGGACACTTATACTCTTTTACGCTGCTGTGAACTTCAAGGCACAGCGTAGAGGACAGAAGAAGATTGATCTTCTGAAACGGTAGGTTATTCAAACACATTAAAAGAATATAATCCTATTGCATGACACATCTGCTGCCATGAAATTTATCTTAGTGTGTAATAAACTTAAAGTGTGGTGAAAAAAAAGGGTATTGAGTAGTAGTGCATGAGTTTTTTTCACCACTATGCATAAGACTTTCTCTGACATTTTTTATTACTCTATCTCAATATAGCCTTACCTAATAAAACATTTCAAACCTTTTTCTTTTACACTCTTTTCTTTCATCTTCATCCAGCGGAGACTGCCCTGGCGTTGAGTAACAAGTCTAAGAATAGTATTCATGAGTAATGTGTGCATATGTTGGTACACTACGGTCATCTCAGCGAGACGAGCAGCAATGTACAGTCTCACGACCGCGCAGACAATCCGACAAAATGAGCTGGCGTAAGGCACTAGGGTGCCGTCATATAACCTCCTAAGTGGTAGTGAGCCTAGATTAGTCAGCCCACCACGTCTTTTTTGTTTATGAGGCGTACAGCCATATCAGATGTGGTTACCCAGATTAACCTGGGCCTCATCGTCCGGCTTCACCTGCTGCCAGGCCTCCAACGCAAGTCCGGGAAAGACCCCGCCACCCGCAACCCAGGACATTTCGTAAGTATCCCTGTGTTTGTTGAATGAGAGTGTGATGCATGTATCTGAGAAGAATGTTATAACCGCCGCTCACTTCTACACATGACAGGGTGGGGATTGGTTGATACTTGTCAAGGTTACCACCATACTAAGACAGCAGGCTGATTCTTAGTTGCTTGGACGGGGGGGTCAGCCCCTGCCAGCCCTCCAAGTTGGCTGGTTTTCATTCGGGGATCCAGGCAGCTCCCTTTAAGCTCTAGTCCCTACACGCATACACCACTCATACTCTTTTTCATTTTTTAAAGTTTCCCCTTTTTTTGTTTTTTCTTTTATTTTCGAGGAAACACAGTCCTTTATACATTTAGACAAATGATCACCTATTTCTTTATAGACTTCCCCATCCCAAGCCAGGCATCCCCACCAACGACAAGGTCTAGCAGCCCCTAGAGGGTGAGTAGCAGTAGCAGTAGCAGTAGCAGTAGCAGTAGAGCAGTAGCAGTAGTAGTAGCAGTAGCAGTGGCAGAAGCAGTATCAGTAGCAGTAGCAGTAGCAGCAGCAGCAGTAGCAGTAGCAGTAGCAGTAGCAGTAGCAGTAGTATGATTCCAATGTATACCAATTTCAGGGTTTTTACGTATCTTATGTCCTTACATCTTCCTAGTTTTTTTTCCGTCATTACTACCATCCTATTTTCCCAAAGTATGCAAGTTTTTCGTGCGGGTCCCTTGCAAAGTTCCTCTCAGACGACTCGGTCATCCATCCTACTGGTACTATTTTCAGGGTGCAGCGATTGTTTTAAGTCCACCCCAGTTATTATCAAGTTTAACGGAAAGATATTTTTCCAATAAACCATCTAACGCTCTGTACCAACCTTTTTATAACCAACAGTGACTTTATGCGATGAGCTGACCAGGTGTTGGCTTTCTGCAAAGGAAGCCCCTGGAGATCCAGAAATCTTCAGAAAAAGTCCACTACTCGTTTTAAAATTCGGATAAGTAATATTTCGGCATCCTGGATACTTATGCCATCGGAAAAGACCGAGAAAAAATCTCAATAATTTTCGACGGGATTCAAACCCACGACCCCTCGAGTATCTCCGGCTAGGAGGCTAGCACGCTAACCACTAAGCCATCGAAGCTCTCTTTTTAATTGAAAGTATTTTTCGAGTACTTTATAGCTTATTCTCAAGCATAATACGAATGATCAATGATATTAAGTTCAGTGCAGTAAAATAGAACTTACTGACAGAGACAGGTTAAGAGCTATATTAAAATATGAAAATAATACTAAAAGCTACCAGTTGGGGTAAGCGGCTTTAAACAATTTAAGTTCGGGGTAGCATGAGTTGCCTTTGAAGGTGTTGAATTGGATGTTGATATAAGGCAACATATATATGTGTGTGTGTGTGTGTAAATTCATATTCTCTTTCTGGCTTGCTTGTTATCTCCTCGCTGATAGTTCTTCTGGATCGTCCGAATCATGTAAAAGATAAAGTACTTAGACGATAGTTCTATCGAGTGGCTTGATGGGTCCTTCTGGGAGGAAGTAGTTGTAGGTTTTGGTCTTTGAGGAGCAAAGATTCTTGGATTTATAGGGGGTTATCCTGACCCGTTGGGTTTGATTTCATCTTGCCGTTCCCATGGTGTGTCAACGGGTGCCCTCAAAGAAGTCCTCAGGGAACTAAGTAGCCATATCTCTGGTCGGCTTTTGAGGGAAGCAACTACAGCAGAACCTTGGGAAAGAAAGTCGTATATCCTTTGCCTCGGGGTCAGTTGCCTCTACTCTTGATTGATAGGGAAGGGGTCATGAGCACTTAACCCCTAGGGATAGATGTGAGATTATGAAAAAAGGAGAAATATTCAGAAAGAATATGATTTTAATGTACAGTGATTCTTATTGAATATTTATTTTACTACCACTGCGATGTATTAAATATTCGCTTGAACAAGCAAGGTTACTGCAATGAATAGATTTGCGTGATCCGGGAAGATGATGTTGAGTCATCGCGTAGCGTTTCTTACATACTAGAAGCTACTTTATCACTCGCGATATTTTCCAGAAATCAATCAGTAATTGATACCTAGTGACTGATAGGCGGTATTATCAAGCGCGACATTCGAAATCAAACTGACACAAAATCATTGAACTAAATAGTTGATAATTATTTTGACAATAAACAATACAAAATATTAACCAAGATGATAACAGCAATAAAGAGATATTGCTTAGTAATTTATAAAATTGAAAACGATAGTGAACTTCTGTTTAACATTAAAAAGTAATAACGGCTCAAAGTACGAATAAATACAAAAAAAAATCCCCAATGCATATCCTTTGATAGGGAAAAAATTATATTATTGGGCAAAAATATAATACAATAATTCTGAAATAACAGACTTCTTATTTGTTAAAGAATTAAAAGTTTTATGATTATAGCACAAATACCAAGAATAGATTCACATACCCGTTTTGGTAGGAAGATGAGTAGGTTATGAGTTATTGTCTTTAAAAATATCTTTCAGGTAAGAAAAAGTTCTTCTACTATCACAAAAAATCTTATTTTTGTTGTATATCCATGTAACTTTGGGGAGAGGATTATTTGCTCCCACGCTGGATCTGTACTTTACACTGATTTCCGTATTCGAGTGTGCTCGAGACTTAAAAGTCGCGTAGTTATAGCCAGCTCAAATTCAGATGAAGGCTTTTATCCTATATTAAATATTATAATATTTGTGTTAAAGCCTGCTTAGATGTTGAGACCTTCGACCTGGCTAGGGCTACAGTGTTTTTTCAGTTATTGGATCAACGTGCTCGCTCTATACAACTTTTGTCTTTAGGGTTATTAGGTCTTAATCTTGGTACATTGTTGAGTGACAGGTCTATAAAATAAATTTTTTTTTAAATACCATTAACAAATCGTTTCACATCTTTAGTAATCTTTTTTTTGTTACATTTTTAAGTGTGACATATAACTTTCTTTAACGCTTGTTTTTTTATCCATAATGTTAGCTTATACCTTTTTACAATCGGTCTTCTAAAATACTTCTATAATAAATTATGTTTTGGCATTCTTAAGAGTCAAATACTTAAAATTAGCTGAGTTTGTGAGCTGAAGCTATCTAGTAACATCTCTTATTAATAAGTGTTGAAATAAGCATTTCATTAAAACTAATCAAAAGAAAAGTCTCATATTTTTACTATTAGAGTAGTGTACGTATTGAATTGTTACTTTAAACTAAAGAGTATGAAGTATGAAGAAATGTATGTACCCTAGTAGTTATTAAACAAAATAAAATAGTAATACGTATACGTGCACTATTATCTATCATTTTTAGTAATGAAATCACGATTTAAAATAAATTGAAATAATTTTTAGTATATTTTTTTGGATAACATTTTTCACCAATAAATTTTTTACCAGAAGTTGTCATTTATGTAGATAAGATGAAATACTGTATATCAGTATGTTTTAAAGTCTAAGCATCAGAAACTGTAGTTAAACTGTAAGTAATCATCATTGTTTTAGCTGAAGAACAGATTTTTAACAAAATTACAGTGTAAACGTAGATTGTTTATAATTTTTTAAGTTATTTAAATAACATAATTAATTTAAGCCTATTATTATGCATTCATACTTTAGAAATAACAATACTTTGCATTAAGTACACTATTTTTTCCAGTTTCACTCGGAAGTTCTCGTTCTGCAACGCCAGCTTTTTCATCACCAACTTGTCAACTATCTGTCAGTCCTTGTATCAATGTTTCACCGAATTTATCAGCCGTACTACATCAGAATGTATTTATGCCTATATCAAATCCTGGGCAAAATATTCCACAGTTTCCATCAAGCATTAATAAGTGGAAGCAAAATTTGTCACAAGCAAGCTATCTCATACAGTATAATGATCAACCTGTTATTAAACCAGAGCCTAACCGTTTGATATTTTCTGAAAAATCATCTTTAGATCGAGTGTATTCAAATATTAATAACAGTGTTATAACGATTTCACCTATTGAAAAGAATTTATCTAGTTGTAGTAAACATACAGAAAATATTCAGACAGAACGAGAGGCTCCCTTAACAGACTTATCAATATATAAATCAGAACAGAAAAGTGTTATCCTTGAAAATGCAACTTTTAACTGTAATCTTATTCCTTCAAATAGTCCGAAATTTGACGTTTCTCATTGTTCTACTTCACCTTCATCTCTCAAAAATGAAGTAGTAACAAAAAAGGACCGTGATAATGTATCTTATAATGATCATTACCAACCCAGTACTGACAACCAGAAGTTTTCTTGTATCGCTAATTACAAAAAAAACGATTATATTGTAATTAAAAGTAATACTAATGTGACTCTGCCAGATCAAATGCAAAACAGTAACGATGTATTATCTGATGACACTATTGAAATTTTCTCTAAACAGGATCCCTGTAAAATCAACTATTTGCGTACAGAATCACCGCATTATTTACATATTGATACTACAAGACAGAACAAATCTCAGGTAATTGAAAAATGTTAACATTATTTAAACTTACATATAATATAATGATTTCAGAAATATTTAAAAATAGCAGATAAAGTTCCTTAAAATAAAAGATGCACTTGTTATTTGCAAAAATTGTCTATAGACCATACTGTACCTGAACGGAAATAGTATTTACCTTTAATTGCTATATAAGGGTGTAGGGCACTCTCTTGAACAAATCGTAGTCACTGCTCATCCTGTTTTTAAAAAGTTTCTTATTTTTTACTAGTACTTTTCTTTTTTAAACTATACTTTCTTAAATATTTTTTTATCGGCTTATATTAAAGCTTCCTCGCTTTTTGACATGAAATAAATTAGGATAAATGTAAATAATAATCTTATAGAACTAGTTAAAATAAATATCAACACCTTTTTATCATTTTGTCTTTATCTTATGTCATATCTATGATAAATGTATTATTTTAAGTTAAATTTTTATTTTTTAATATTATTGCCTACTATACTATTCCAATACATATATATTTTTTTTAAATATTATACCCCTGTAAACAATAAGAGAAGACGTATAAATTTTACATTTTTAATATCTATATTTAATTGATTCACATATTCGAATTAAGTGATACTAGTTACGATATTAGAGTTTGAACGACCATTAATTTTTTTATCATTTGATTTGTAATTTCATCACTAATAATTTGTAACACCTTTTTTTAGTTTTTGTTTTTCTCTACTTTTTTCATAAATGCTCTAGATTTTTATTTTATTTTCAATACATCAGCTTATAATGCTGCTTATTAAAAAATATGCACAACTTTTGTGAAACGTACAGTAAAATGAAAAAAAAGTAAAAAATCATCAAATGGCATATCACAAAATGACGCCAAACAATGTAGTTTGGGCTTAATCTCTTACTTTATTGGCAAATTAGATGAAATTTTTATGTAACCCTATTTTGCTTTTCCTTCGGATTATAGCCTTTTTTTGTTTTTTGCAGGGTTACATTGCCATAAAATCTTTTTGAAAAAGTATGTGCACTTTAGTATTGTTATTCTAAACATTTTTTAAAAATTAGGACAATATTAAAATAGAATAATGCAGACTACTTTTTTTTTGGAAATCATACGCAACTAAAAGTGCACAGATTTGTAAATCATTCATTACGTATAACTTCATTAAAACGTTATATTTCTATTATGATTGGTAAATACGGTGTGGAGCATCACACGTATAGCATAATTTGGCCGGTGTCAAGTTGGTCCAGTTGTCTTCCAAACTGATAAACTGACAACATGTCGATGAACCTTGGAATCAAAACACACAATTGTACTTATGTGTGTTTTCCAAAATCAGATCTTAGTCAGTTAGACGGAAACTACACTTAGTTATACACTTATGTACTGGATTGTGCGAAAATTGTTCTACTTTAGCTGTATTGTGTAACAATGGATTGTTTAACGAGTGAAAAAGGAAAAACATTATTTTTTTTCGATGTGTATACTTTTAGTTTCCATAAAATGTTAAGCAAGAATATTTAGCGCTGGAAATGTACTGTAAGAAGTTGCTAAAGTTTTATAGAATTCGGCTCCAGTAACGTTATAATTGAGAAGTTTATTGAACGCTTACATACTAACGTTGACAAAGGTACTTTTCTCTATTAAATGATTTTGTTTCAACTATTTTTATATTTTTTTTATCTTAAAAAGGAATTCTGAATCAAAAAAAAGTAAGCAACAAACGAAAAAGAAAAGCGATGAAATCTCGATCCGCCCAGCAAAATTATTATGCAATGAAATGAAAAAATCAGACGTTACTACGTTAACAATCCAAGGTTTAGATCGTATAAGACGAAAAATTAGAACTGCTCGACATGTTTCATTACCAAACTTACTGAAAACAAGATTTGAATTTCATGACATCCAAGAGTTGGAGCTAAGTATAGATTATAAAAAGCAAGATTCAGAAATCAGCGATTTTCTAAAAAGCTTCTTTGGACTGCCTTTTGTAGATGAGCATGAGATTGAGGATTGTTTTGTAGATGATTTGATAAGTGTCATGCTGAAAAATAAAAAAGTGGAACAATTTTGCGATTGTGTCCTTGATGAATATTTTTTTAAGTACGCCAGTATTTAACTAACTCATGCTGCTAGTCCAAAACCTACATGAAGTGTGACGAAAAAAAAAAACTTTTTATTGAAAATGTTTATCTGGAGATCTATAGTGATAATATTCACTCGTTATGGCTCGGGAGCCAACACGGCGGTGCTCGGGTGCCAACTCGACCATGTGTCTTAACTGCCCGGGAGCCAACTCGCCACTTTTTTCGCTTATGGGAGCCAACTCGACATCTCTGAATAATTTTTTTCTTTTTATATCTGCATATTATTCCATCTCAGCACATGACAATTAGACGCCTGGTATATAAAAACTACTGACGTTTTCCCTTCCATAGCGCTTTGTTTTTGTTTTGCCTAAGTATCTCGCTTGACATTCGCTTGACATTCGTGTGAGATTTTGTATACGACATTGGTATTATTCAATATGTCTGTTTTATCTTACTTTTGTTGTATGATATTACTTGATTTTTTATTATTTTAGAAATAACTTCTGTATTATATTTTAAAACGTTGTTTAATTTTATTGAAAACTGTAAAAAAATATGGTAAGCAAATGACTTAGCTTTCTTAATTATTATCATCCTTAATTTTACGATATTTCATTAAAATATTAATGTTAGTGGAATGAACTAAATACTTATTCTTTAGCAGCATATGCTTTACATTTTTTTAAATTTCTTTATAGAATAGGCAGTAAAACAGCTTTATAACTGTCTGTATCACATTCTACAACAATTTAATCTTTTTTGAATTATATTAGTTAATTAAAAATAGTGACGTCTAGTAGTTGAGAATCATTTTCTACACCTATTATTTATAATCATATCATTATGTTCTATTAACATAACATATTTCAACTTCATCCCATCGTCCCGTTGTACATGAAGTGTAAATTTTGAGTTAATGTTCTAATTATTAAAAATCTGAATTCGAAGAAAAATATTTTTTTCTTGATACAGGTAATTAAAATGTCAACATAAGAAATATAGCAAAGCAGTTGAACATGATGCTTAGTTTTAAAAATTTTCTAACAATTACTTCTGCTGTCATCAATCCCCAAATCTGCAAAAAGGAAGAAACTGGTGATCGTATAAGGCTTTTTTATGTTACTTTATGTTATTTCTTATTTATATTTTGAAAGCTAACACGAGCCAGTATTTTGTCAGAATAAAACTCAGTGAAGTGTTAGAAACAAGAAATCGTGCTATTTTGTGAAATCATTATGTAAGACTTGTGAAAGATCTGTTAACGGATCATATTAAGAAATAGTAAACAAAGTTTAAAAATATAAAGATAGTTATTATGACTGTTGGANATAATTTCATAATTTTCTCAAACACGCCAGTATTTAACTAACTCATGCTGCTAGTCCAAAACCTACATGAAGTGTGACGAAAAAAAAAAACTTTTTATTGAAAATGTTTATCTGGAGATCTATAGTGATAATATTCACTCGTTATGGCTCGGGAGCCAACACGGCGGTGCTCGGGTGCCAACTCGACCATGTGTCTTAACTGCCCGGGAGCCAACTCGCCACTTTTTTCGCTTATGGGAGCCAACTCGACATCTCTGAATAATTTTTTTCTTTTTATATCTGCATATTATTCCATCTCAGCACATGACAATTAGACGCCTGGTATATAAAAACTACTGACGTTTTCCCTTCCATAGCGCTTTGTTTTTGTTTTGCCTAAGTATCTCGCTTGACATTCGCTTGACATTCGTGTGAGATTTTGTATACGACATTGGTATTATTCAATATGTCTGTTTTATCTTACTTTTGTTGTATGATATTACTTGATTTTTTATTATTTTAGAAATAACTTCTGTATTATATTTTAAAACGTTGTTTAATTTTATTGAAAACTGTAAAAAAATATGGTAAGCAAATGACTTAGCTTTCTTAATTATTATCATCCTTAATTTTACGATATTTCATTAAAATATTAATGTTAGTGGAATGAACTAAATACTTATTCTTTAGCAGCATATGCTTTACATTTTTTTAAATTTCTTTATAGAATAGGCAGTAAAACAGCTTTATAACTGTCTGTATCACATTCTACAACAATTTAATCTTTTTTGAATTATATTAGTTAATTAAAAATAGTGACGTCTAGTAGTTGAGAATCATTTTCTACACCTATTATTTATAATCATATCATTATGTTCTATTAACATAACATATTTCAACTTCATCCCATCGTCCCGTTGTACATGAAGTGTAAATTTTGAGTTAATGTTCTAATTATTAAAAATCTGAATTCGAAGAAAAATATTTTTTTCTTGATACAGGTAATTAAAATGTCAACATAAGAAATATAGCAAAGCAGTTGAACATGATGCTTAGTTTTAAAAATTTTCTAACAATTACTTCTGCTGTCATCAATCCCCAAATCTGCAAAAAGGAAGAAACTGGTGATCGTATAAGGCTTTTTTATGTTACTTTATGTTATTTCTTATTTATATTTTGAAAGCTAACACGAGCCAGTATTTTGTCAGAATAAAACTCAGTGAAGTGTTAGAAACAAGAAATCGTGCTATTTTGTGAAATCATTATGTAAGACTTGTGAAAGATCTGTTAACGGATCATATTAAGAAATAGTAAACAAAGTTTAAAAATATAAAGATAGTTATTATGACTGTTGGATAAGTTCTGGGTTAATAAAAGTTAGCATGACTACCCGCCTACTTGATCAGCTCGCCGTTGCGTTGCGAAATGACTTTTTTTTTTATTGAATTCTGCTGCTCTTGCTCAATTACTGAGGCACTAGTGCACGAACTCTCTTTTGCATTTGAATACATTTTTTTATACATAAATTTCCTGTCGTTTTTTTTAATCATAACATTCAGCCATTTCTAATATTTTGTGTACTAACAAACTCTTTTTTTTATATG